ATGAATAATTTATATACCAATGTAGAATTGGATGTTTGAAAATTATTCATCAAGAGGATACGTTAATATTTCCTGTGACTACTACGAAGATTTATTTTGTATCATATACTTTGCTATTTAATATTCATGGCATTTCATAAAATAGAGCAAATAACCTTGGCATATGTAAATGAAATAGGATAAGAATAACATCGTTTTTTTTTATAATTTTCATTTGAATTGCATGCTCAATAGCACTAGAAGAATACTAAGTATTTAAAAGTCTCATGAATTATGTTTTTAGACGAATATGATTAATAAATAGAAGTCACATATTTAATTGAATAATAAAAATGAAACATATTGTGTTTTTTATTTTTTAAATACATTAGATTTACATTAACATACTATACATATCTGTAATTAATTAATAGTTAATATTTTATCGACGTTTGTCATAATAAGATGTTGGACTACGACTACGATCACGACGATCATGTGAATAATTTCTATGTTGTTGACGATCATATTGATTATTTCTATTGTAGCAATTATTATTTGTATAACGATTTCGTTGATTTTGATAATTCTTTCTATCTTCACCCCAATCATCAACTATTGGTGGACCTGTAGAACATGGTTCAGACATTTGTATATATTCTTTATCTTCATTAGTATAACGTTTAGCAAACAGCTTATTCAATTGAGTAAGTTCTTCAACTGTAGAAGAATTGTTACTTTCATTTTCATCTTGTATTGTTGTCATCTGAAAAAAGAACAGAATAGAATCATTATCACAAACATACTGAATACAATTTATTAATAGATACACAAATGTTAAGCAGTAGAAATATTGAATATGATATTATCATAGTATCATGTACCAGATGAACATCATGTAAAACAAGATTCATAATATATTACGAAGTTAAATTAATCTTCTCGTTTTTCCTTTATTCTGATCTTATTATTAAATGATATTTCTTTCTTGTTCTTTTTCAATCTTATATATGATATTTAACTACGATATCTTTAGTCAACAATTTTGTAATCTACCTATAGAAACCAAATAACATAAAAAAAAGTCATTTGGTAACTAATCGAGAAAAAAAAACGAAAGAGAGGTGAGATGAGTCGTAACACTCAATTAATATTAGGTCGTCAAGATGATGATATATTTATTCCATCGACAATTCCAAGTACAAATGATGATGTTAACCAATTAGAAGAACGTTTTACTAAATTATTATATAATGAAAATGCACTTGAAACTGGTTTATGTCCAACACGTCGTCGTATATATGACGATTTATTCAGTGAACTTATTCGTATAACCAAAGTTCATTGTTTAGAACGTGGTGTTTTACTTGAACGAGTTAAAAATGAACATACACAATGGATGAATACATATGAAGAGTTATATTCAAGTAGTATGGGTTATGGAATGCGACAATATTTATATAGAATGGAAGAAGAAAAAAAATTAGAATCAAATATAAATGTTTTAGAAAATGAATGTCAAAAATTACGTGATGAACTTGAAAAAGAATCAGTTAAATTTCAAGATTTAAGTGAACAAGTTAATCAAAAAAGATTAAATGAAACTAAGGAACAACGTGTATTACGTAGTAATGCTAGATTTTTAAAATCAACAAAAGCAAAAACTCGACTTAATCTTGAAAATACATTAAATCAATTATTAGCATCACCTATTTTTCTTGGCGAACCAATTGATTATCAGAAAAAAACAACATAAACTAAGATGTTTAGTTTTTTATTTTTTTTTTAACATAAACAAATAAATATCACGAAAATCAATGTTACTTATTGTAGAAACGGTATTGTCATCGGAGCAGGATTTTGCATATAAGTTACGACAACAGCAGAAATAGAAAGCCTAGGAAAAAAAAAGGAAAATAGTCAATTTATTTCATATGAATAAGTTTCATACATACATAAAACTACTAAGAACTTGTTTTGCATCATCGCTTGTACGTGAATTAGCAAAACCAACTAATGCTATAAATAAGATAATTGATTAGAGATTAAATTTTTTATAGGGAAATTATATTACCAGCAAATACTGCAATCCATGCACACCATTTTATCTAGAAGATTTTTCTATAGACAATTTATTTTATTTTATTTGAATAATTTACTTTAAGCATTAATGAACACATAGAAAACATCATGCCCATTAAATTCATATAGTCGGGTATGGCATCATCAGTTGGTGTAATCATTGATGGTCGAAATCTTTGAATAGGATTTTATAAAATGATAATAAAATATAGGAAAAGAAAGTAATACCGATGAATACGTGCTGGTCGACGATTATCTGTCATGTTATTAATTAGTACAGTAACAAAACTGAATGAACGAAATGTGTAGGTATAAAATAACACGCATCATTTATTTTTTATTGGCGAATATATATGGTTTGTTTAAAAAATCACATCGATAGATGGTGCTGAAAATTAATAACCGATTGAAAGAAGCAATAAAATATTTTATTTTCGATAAAAATTCTATCTTATACATTTGTCTGATTCATACTACTAGAATTGAAGACTGAAGATAACTTTAAGACCGAGTAGAACTAGATTTAATGCTACTGATCTCTTACAGTAATTTTATTTCTAAGAGTGAACACAAAATATGAATGTAAATCCAAAGTAAGGAATAAGAAGTAATAGTATTACCTTGAATCTAATAGAATTAGTTATCGTAATTGTATTACGACTCAATAGTGTTTTCATAATTAATAAAATATGTCATTTTGAAAAACATTTTATCGAGGTGTATTTACTATTAATGCATCAAGCTATTTACATGTTATTTATATTTCAAAAAAAAATACCATGAGAATATATAATTTTAATCAATCTCAGCGATCATGATTTATTCATATTTTAATTAGAAGAAATAAATCTTTACGTAAGGGATAAAGATTCTAAGGAAGGAATATTCACTGAATAGCATATCGATCAAAAAAAATGTCAAGGTTAATTTTTTTTATTAGTCCAGGTTTTATTCAAGGATTGTAATCAAAATATTTATCATAGCACGTTTTTATCATTATAGAATAATATTAATCACTCCAACGAATTTATTTAAAAGAATATTTAAATTTAATTATAAACGTGTATCATAAAATGACCTCTGGAGATCACATCGATCATTGTTAAATATAAACGAAAAATATAATGATATGATTAAAGACTACCGTCCCATACTGTTGTTTTATTTTCATAAAAAAACTTGTGTACATAATAATAAAATAAATTTAACCTAAGTAGTAGATTACTAGTTCAAGATAGAAGTATTTGAATAAATATATATTTAATAAAATTTCATTCATATAGAAAATATTTCGAGTATACAGAGATCACATACTACAATCATTGTCTAACGAAGAAGAAAAAAAATCAATTTTCTTCTTATAAGTTTTACTTTCATACCTTTCTACTCATATGTTATTTTTTATTTTTCATCGTAGAAAATAACACATTAAATATTTATCTATGTATGTAATTTACGTGACTAGTAAATATGGCAAAAATATTTTTTTACAAAAACTTTCTTTTTATAATATTTAAATCAAAAATATTCGAGGAATGTTATATATTTTATTGAAATATTGCTTATCTAATCGTTTATATAATGTATTAGAACTAAATATATTATTAATTTCAAGTATAAATTATAATGACTGATAATTGTCATAAGAAGAAAAGGCTTGAAATCTATAACAATTTGAACGATTTGAAACTCTAATTAAACAGATATTATCATCAACGATTTCATAAAGCCTTGAGCAAATAAGAGAGTGATATAGGATAATTAGGATAAGAAAACAATCCCCAGGTCTTGAATACGGTATTTTCTGAGGGTTTTTTACTGTATTAAAATATGTTTAACATAGTTTGAATGTCAATAATATTGTGATCGGATTTAGTACATATCTTATAAGTAACTTATTGATCATTTGTATACGATAGACATGTTCTTCTACTCAAGGTCATCAGCGCTTATTATAGAGAACAAAGTGATTTATTGGCGAAGGTTATTTTTTTTTCTATATATATGACAATAAGTAAAAATATAATTTCTTTTCTAAATAATACCTATCATAACATATAGAAAAGTAATTCTTATTCATTCTTCTAATGAGAGTATTGTAAAGTTGTGTAGTATATTTTGTTTTTGTTGATACACTATTTGCCATGCATGAGTAGTTATTTATACACAAGCTGTCTGTGGTTTCTCCTTGGCGGTTTCTTTTTTATCATACGATTGCATTGATTCTAATATTATTCCGTCCTTTTCTCGTCAACGAAAGTAAAGATACGCATACGTATATATATATATTTATATTTACAACTACATCGAATATCTAATAAGACTCTGTCATTTTCGAATTAGAAAAAGTAACGTATGGATCGTGCTAGTTTCTGGAAATGGTTTTTAGTTGCCGCACTTGTTCTTTCACTTACTGCATTCATTCTTGGTACTAAGTTAAGAAAAAGTCACTAAATAATTTTAATAAATAATTTTTTTTTCTTAGGGTGGATTGGCTTTGGTGTACCTGATTGGCATAAATTTCAACGTTATAATAATACTATTGTAGAGTATTATGGTTTATGGGCTTATTGTCAAGAACAAAGCCCTCTATTTGATGCAATTTGTCAACGATGGCCAACAGCTGAAAAGGAATTATTTGCTGGAAGTCGACCAAGTTTCATTCGTACTACAGAAGGTCTAATGACAACTGGAATGGTAATACTTTCATTGGGTCTTTTTATTGGAATCTTAGCTGCACTTTTACCTTTGCTCGCATATTTAGCTGCGATTCTCGCTTTAATAGCATTTATCTTTCTTGTAGTTGGCTTACCGATATTTGGTCGTCAATCGAGTATATATTCTCGAGTAAGAGGTGATTATTCATACACTAAACGTTATGGATTTTGGCTTATGGTACCAACTATTGTGCTTGAGTTTCTTGCAATACTCTTTTTTGCTGCTGCTGGATTTTTATATAAAAAATATGGTTATGGTAATATAGCAAATAGTTTTAACAATAAATCACATTATCTACGTGATAATAATGTATATGGTGGTAAACAAAAACTTGGACTACCTAGTTTCTTGACCGGACCTAGTGTAATACCAGCACCCGTACCTATTCCGTACGGAGTGAGACCGCCGTATGCAATTGGTGGTAATCGGCCTCCTCCAAATCCATATTTAACGACACAAACCATGACAGAACCGAGTTTACTTTCACAATATCTGGCTCAACGTGTAACACCACTTTATGAATCAGCACCAATACAATTAACAAGTGGAAGCTTACTACCACAACCAACTATTGCTCGAGTTGTATCAGGAAGAGGTTTAAATAATGTAACACCATCTTATTATCGATTTGGTGAACCAGTTGGACCACAATTTACACCGATTGTAAATCTATCTGGAGAGACAATTGTGGGTCCTATTCTACGCACTAGTTAAATATCATTATTCAATAGCACAATGATGCTCTTATTTTTATTTGAACAAACTTTATATTTTGTTGTTTTATCATTATTTATATAGTACATGCCTAATAAAAGATATATATATATACATAAGATGTCAACGAATAGACACAGATTATAGTTCAGTTAGAAAGAACATGATCTTTGTTATTCCATGAATAACAAATTAAAATCTGTATAATTGAAAAAATTTCGAGATTTCCTTTTTCTTTCTTTCTTTCTCCTTTTGTCTCGTAAAAAAAACCTATTTTTAGCTTAAATGTATTATATATAGAGGGAGTATTAATAATTATTATGTACGTGTTATGCTATATAAATTTGTCTTCTATTTTTTTTTTTGTCAATTGTAAGAAGAAAAAGACATCATTGAAAGATCTCTAACGATGCATAGCTAATGATATGTCTGATCATGTAATAAGAATCTATATGAAATATAACCGCGACAAAGTTAACGTATCATTGTAGTGCAACATTATATTTATATGCATGTTTAGATTTCATCAGACAAAGGAGAGAGAGAGACGTAAAACGGAGGTATACCTTTTCCTTACGTGTATGCTGAAAATTTCAGGATCAGCAGGAACGGTAAGGATGAGAAGAGAGAAAGTAACTGACACAAACTTTATTCTCCTTCTAATGTTGTTCTATTAATTCTCTTTCATAAGTGTATTAAAGCATCTCGTATTATCAAAATTATTCTGTTTTCTTGAGTTAATATAACACGTCTATTACGTTTTTCTTATCTATTAAAATCTTCAAGGTTTGAAACATTCTTTTTAAAGTTCATTTCTTATATTTCAATAATAATTTGTTTGTTTTTTCATTATCTGTTCGGTTAAAATATTAATTAACAATAAAAACTAAGTGTTGCTTTTTGGTTATTGTCAATGTCATTTATAACACTCTTATTATTCTAAGACAATATCTAATCCAGATGAATTTCAATACGCGACTGTTTTTCTTTCTCTCACCCTCGCGAATTGTCATTGAATAAGACAAGTGCATTGTTGTTAGATGGAAATAAAGTCTGATAACACATCGACTGTGTTCATTATTTGATACGAGAATGATTATGACTTTTTTGTTTTGTTTTTCTAATTGTCACACAATTTTTCTTCAACCTATAACTTGCACATCTAATCGTATGAATAAATACTAAGTATCTGTTAGGTTTATTGAGTTTTTATTTAACAGATCATATTTACATTTGATAAATTTAAATATGTTAGTTGTGTATAATAACTATACACTTGACATGTATGGTTATCCAGGGAAGTTTGCGTGTTAGTTTTTAAAACTTAATATATATAATTATAGGATATATAAAGAATATTCATCATTTGTCATTTTATGTCTTGAAGCAATATGAAATATATAATAGATGAACATGACGCACATCAATGAATTCTTCGGATAGAGAAGTTAGTCTCGAATGAGTTGCTGTGCAATAGAATATTTAGACAATTGCGCCGTCAGATGATCGATATAGAGATGTATGTACCTATTCTGTCACATTTATTTTAAGTGTCATTTTTCATCATTTGATTTTTATTGATAGACTTGAAAAATTAGATTAACACACAAATATATATATATATATTCACATGCAAACGTTTTTATTCGATCCATCAGTACTATTGATGAAATCTTTTCTTTTTCTCAAGTTTCTTTCTCTATATAAAAGAAAATGATCATCCCCCCATCGCTCTTTCTTTTTTTTTCTCACTCTATCTATCTATCTCGCGTTTTCTATTAGAATCATGTAAGGAGAAAAGAAAATAGAAGATAATTTGCTAATGTTTCGATATATGCCATCAGTAAATGTTCTTGACATAAACGACACACCATCAAAAAATCTTGTAGATTGGACAACAGCACGTTATCACGTTTTAGTTTTTCTATCTATCAAAATTGAAGTAGTGAGAACAATTAGAAAATTTTTTATATACATGCAACAGTTAATAATCATAAATAAAGATATTTATAAATTTCAAGAGTAAATAATGATATACTAATTATAGAAGTAGAATATAACATGAGTTTGTATTTTATTTCTTTTTCTTCATTTGAATGAATGAGATAGAGAGTTAAGCTTAATAAAGTTTTTGTAGTATATTAATTGATTTACAACCGATATTTTATATTCTTCTAGACGTATAAAAAAACTATGTTGATTACTGCCAATCATTCGATTGACAATAAAACAAGAAATTTTGTACAATTTCATAATATTCAGATCAATTATTCAGATTATTCACAAGAATTCCAACCTATATGGATTAGTTTATCATTAATTAGCAGTAAGTAATAGAATTATTTCGTAAATATCTTATATGGAAGATAATCAAAGTTCAAGAATGAAACATTTTCAGTTCGAGGACATTATTATATAAAAATAGCAAATGTCTTTATACTAATAATAATATGAAAATAGGGAAAGAAATGTCATACGTAAATATCGTGAAATCTGAAGGGTATGTCTAGTCTTGAAATGATAATAGAGAAAAAGATCGATGATAATATTAAGTTAATGATTCAAATAACTCTCTTAGGTACATCATTGAATATATAAATGATTACATTAAAAGAGTTATTTTCAATATTAAACAAAAAAGACATGTACTTAAGTTTATAGATAAAAAAATAACAATTGCAAGATGTACGAACGTCCTCATTGATTGAAAAGAAATATAAACTTTTCCCTCCTAATACATGACTAGAATAGGAAAAATAGCTTTAAATATTATACCAATTATGTTACAAAAATAGATATAATACAATAGAATTCGATATGTTATTTCCTACAATTAAATATCGGTTAGAGTTCAATCAAATACAAAACATCTATTGATTCTCTATATATTTTTTGTTTTAGTTATTATGTTCACTGTTGGTGGCAATAGTCTTGTTTGTATTGCTGTTATACGTGAAAGACATTTACAAAATACAACTAATTATTTTTTAACATCACTTGCATTGACTGATTGTCTTGTAGCATGTCTTGTTATGCCTTTAGCTGTTGCTGTAGAATTTATTGGACATTTTCCATTTGATTCATTAACTTGTAATATATGGTTAACGTTTGACGTTTGTTGTTGTACATCATCAATTTGGCATATGAGGTAGTAAAAAAATTTCGTGTGTAGTTAAATGTTTTTTGTCTTTTCTATATATATATGTAGTGTTATGTCACTTAATCGTTATCTTACATTACGATATCCATTAAAATATGGACGAAATAAACGACGAAGTTTTGTCACTTATAAAATAATGATTATTTGGTTAATATCATTTGCAATATGTTTACCATTATTTATTCTTGGTCTTACTGATTCATCGAATGTATATAATAAAGAAACACGTGCATGTTTTGCAGCTCATCGAATATTTAAAATATATGGTTCATTTGTTGCTTTTTTTATTCCATTAATTATTATGATTGTAACATATGCATTAACAATGAGCGCGTTACAACAAGCGCATGCAACAAAACAACAACGTACGAGAAGACGAAAAAAAATTCATGCTGTTGTTAATCTTGCTGCAATGGCTATTAAATGGAAACGAGCTGTAAATACTGTTGAAATACTTGATGAAAAAAATTTGTCAATTAATTTACAACATAATATACCATCCATAGAAAAGAGAATGTCTATAAGTGAGCAACGAAAACGTTCTTCATCATTACTTTCAGTTGGAGAACCAAAAAAAACTATATTTATTTCAAATCATTGTTTAAATGAATCTTCTCAGCCAATATCATCTCTTACACATCGAGAAAAACAATTAGAATTATCCGAAGAAAAATCAAGTAAGAATTATGATATGAAAAAAAAACATCAGAAATCTATTAAATAAATCTATATTCTATGGATAATCTTAGCTAAAAATATATCTATGTTTTATTTTCTAGTACATCAATCATCAAATCAACGTTTATATCCAATTACACCAAATAGTCTACAAGCACCTACAAAACGTTCTAATTCTTGTACACCATTACTTGAAGTTAAAAATGCTCGTAGAAGTCGACGACGTAGTTCTTCTGTTCATACTCTTCTACAAATACGTCGTAATTCAGCAGAAATAACGAAAGAATTAGCTCATCTAAGTGCTCAATTATCTGCATCAATGACTAATGATGGTATTGCTAATAAACGATTATCACTTTCTATTCCAAATACATATGAATCAAATGAACATGGAACACCTACAATAGATCAATTACTTGCAGAAATAAGTGTTAATCAACCAATTATCATTCCATCATCTTTTCTTACAGTAAATCCAAAAAGACGTCGACGATCGTAAGCTATTATTTGAATTTCAATTAGATAAATATTCATTTCTCAACTATTTTTTTTCTTGTTTGAAGAAATAGTGCTGATATTCGATTACCAATTACTGAATTTTATGCAAGAAAAGAATCTGTACCTAATCTAACTATTCCAGATATTCCAGATCTACTTGTTACATCCGAAAGTTCTCAGAATAGTTCCTGTAATAACCTTGAATCACTTGAACATCATTCCAATATAGATACGGCATGTCAACGTATCAAAGATTGGATTACAGTTACATCATCATCAACAAATCTTAATCATGATCATAATTCTAAACTTTCTACACGTTGTGTATCAGCTAATAACTTTACGGAACATACACCAATGTTAACTGGAAATAAACAACATTGTTCAACATTAACTAATCTTCAACGACATTTTCCTCATATTGAACAATTATATGGACAAACATCAACATTAAATTCAACGTTCCATCCTCAACAACAACAACATCAACAACAACATTTACTTGTTAATGATCATGTTGCTTCAGTTCAAAACTTTGCCACTGAGAAACGGGCTAGCGTTTGTTCATTAACATCATCATTGATAAATTCTCGTTTTTCTCGAAATAATCGACCTAGTACATCATCTTCAATTGGTTCATCATCTTTACAAGGTACAATACGTAAAGTTCGACCACGTCTACATGATATTGTATCACAAGTTAGTTTTCAAATGGTATCATTAGATACAGATGATACATCATCGTGTACATCAAGTTTTACTCATCATTCAGCTCATTTAAAATCAGTAAGATTAGGACCTGCAAATTCATTACCAAATAATACATTCAATAAAAAACGTCAAAGATTTAAAAGTCTTGTTAAAAAATCAGCCAGTAATGAACGTAAAGCAATGCGTGTATTACTTATTATATTTTGTATATTTGTTATATTATGGACACCATTTTTTGTTATTAATCTTGTTTCTTGTTTTATTACGGAGATTCATCCTGTTTTAGCATCTGTTGCAACATGGCTTGGTTATTGTTCATCATGTGCAAATCCAATTATATATACTATATTTAGTCGAACATTTCGTCAAGCTTTTGTAAATATATTAACATGTCGAAAAACAATGAATTCACATCCATCATCACAAATGTTTAGTCCATCGGCTTATTCAAAATCAATGTCAGTTGGACGAAAATTATCAGCAATGACTAAAGGACAATTTGATATACGTTAAAATTATTTGTCTTAACATTACAATAACTTCTTATTTTTTACATATCAGATTTATATGTTGTTGTTTAATGTATTAAACTTTATTTTGAAAAAGAAATTTGATATTTTCTATTACCATTAATTCATGTTTCATATCATTGAAGAATTTAGGATAAATATCAAGTACAAATTTAATGTTATCTGAGTCAATAACAAAGTCTGTTTGTGAAAAGTTGAAGGTTAAATTCATACTAATGGTTAAAAAAACAGTGGGAAAATCTGTATTTGATTAAATTTAATGAGTGCGTTGCATGCTCCTTTTCACATGTCATTTGGTGCGCATAACTTTACCAGGTAAAATGAAGCACTTTTACTGTATTCAATAATTAAATAAATTTCAACATCAATCGATCGCAGAAATGAAATTAAGTGCTTTATATTAGTTGTTATTTCAGTAAAAAATTGCATTGATAAATAATAAAAACAAAAAGATTAATGAGCTTTTTTCTTTTTATTTGTATATAATACAAAACTCTTGATTAATTTGATGAAGTCTATCATTTTTTGATGGCAACTGTGAAACGAGTATGACTACGTTCTATAAAAATCTCGACAAAGGTACGTAAAACACGGATATGCTATTCTGTCTTTTTTTATAAGGAAGGTAAAGGATTAGGTTTAAGTAAAGGTGACAGGTAAAGATGTACCTTTAACTTGATTATTAGTTTGTGTACTTGTCTCAATGATAGCGTGAAGACGCATGTTAACTCTTATTATGATGTGGTTAGGACACAAACTTCTGATTTTATTGAAAAAGACTGATGTATTTATACATCGATAAACACATACCTCGAACATATTATAAATAGTAATATCTAAGTGAAATCATACCTGGATCATAGTACACTCATCGATTAGTGATTACAAATAGATAGATCTAAGTGTTATTACCTAGATCATACCTCCAAAAGATATGATAAGCTAATATATATATAGGACAACATTATGATGTGATCTAGGGATCAGATCATAACAACGCATTTTGAACTTCGTATTTGAATATTTCTAAAGCAACCAGTCAACAACAACTTAAAATCAAATAAATTATACATGTCATTCAACTGATTTTGTTACACAGTTTGATTAAAAAAGAATTACAATAAAAATTGAAGAGTATAGAGAAGTATTATTTCTGAAATATTTATTTATATCTATATGGAATGCCAAGTTCAATTAAATATAATTTAAGATATTTTAATATGACATACCAATATTTAATTAATATCGAAAAGATGAGAAGAGAAAAATATGAATGAACTGTTTACCTATTGCGAATAGTAACTATCAGTTATTCATTATTGAAATCACTTAAAATATTTTGTGTTTTATAAAGTCTATCATCACATATGAATTGTTCTCTGTTCGTATTCGTTTAATAGAATAAACATACTCATTACAAGTAGAGAATCGTCTAAGAAATTTACGAGATTTGCAAAATTTTAAAGCCTGTTATTACCTGTTTCCAACTCGACAATTCACGACCTCTATAAGTTTTAACAACAGTTCTTTGAAAAAAGCGCATGGTTCAATGATTACAATATTCTGATAGTTACCAGTAAATGTCTTTTTCTCTCAGAATATCAGTCCAATTAATATATATATTTCAATATTATTCCTGACGTTTATTCTTGAATGCATCGTTGATTAAGCGTAAGATGAAGAAAAGTCAGTTACTTTAAACAGATGGTTTCCATCTGTTGCTAGCCACTAATATTAAAATTTTACCACTTCCTCTTTTATTTATGCCATTTTTGATGTTTTTTTTCTAACGATGAGTATTAAAAAAAATCATCCACATGTAATTAATTTAAATCAATTAGTATTAAATGTTCCAATCCGACGAAAACTAACTGATCATGAAGATCGAGATAAATTTGAATGGAATCAAGTATGTATTGAACGTCGTTCTTATTTATTGTTGTTTCTCTTATATTTAGTGGCAAAGTGCAACAAAAACTGTTAATAACGTCGAAGCACCAACAAAAGAAAAACATATTCGAAGTAAGAAAATAAAAGATGAATCAAAATTCATGAGAAATCTTAATTTTAGATCTCATTGTTGGTACATTTCGATTGGATGGTTGTCGTCTTTTTTGGTCAATGGTAATTAGAATTCATATTGAATCACATCCAATTGTTAGTTGGAAATTTTGTTATGTTATTCATCGTCTTTTAAAAGATGGACATAGAAATGTAAGTGATTGAATCAAATTTTTTATAATTCATAAGAATTAACTATATCTTTCGAAAGTCATATTTTGAATTGTTCTCAATGATTATAATACTAAACATTAATAAATCGTTTAGGTTGTTCATGATTGCATTATATTATCATCTTATTTCGATCAATTATGCAAATATTGGGTAAAGATATTTAACTATTCGTTTATATATATATTTATATGTCTATAGAGTGGTGTACAACAAAGTTATGGTTTATTAACACATCGTTATTGTCATTTATTAGTATCAAAATTAAAATTTCATGTAAAAAATCCAACATTTACAGGAGGTTTAACATTTGATGAACCGAATGATATTCGACGATTATTTAAAGATAATTATAATTTATATCTTCCATTATGTAATGAATTATTTGATTATATGGAAGAATTATTAAATCTTGTACAAGTTATATTTACATCACTTGATCAATCACGTACAAATTCAATGACTACAACAGGTCAATGTCGTCTTAATCCAATTATTGCTTGTATACAAGATTCAAGTCTACTTTATGATTATATTGTTAAAGTTCTTTTTAAATTACATGAAGGTAATAATTATTTGATTTTTCAAAAAAAACAGTTTTTATGATTAAAAGAAAAATAAAAAATTTAGGTTTATCTGGTGATGCATTACAAGAACATCGACAAAGATTAACTGATCAATTTCGAAGATTGAAACGTTTCTATAATCAAACATCAACATTACAATACTTTAAAACTCTTATTAAAGTTCCTATTTTACCTGAAGTATAAATATTATTACTATACATCATTTTTTCAATATCGGTAGCTTTCTTTTGTTCGTAATAGAATCCACCAAATTTTAATATAAAAGAAGATATGAAAAATTATCAAAGTCCTGTACCAGTTGTAAGTGCAACATCAACGGAGTCATTACAAGGAATGGATGATCTACTTACTGGTACAACGACTGAGGTAAGAGATTTTGTTATTTTTGATATGCTCGATGTATAACGAGATAATATCATACTTCCAAATGATGAACTGCTAAGTAGGATAATATAGTACGAAACAGTCATTGTTATCTATCAAGGCTGTAACATTATAGAATGTGTTAACTATTTCTAAATAACAAGAATAATTTTGAATCGAGTAGAAAATTCGATCATTTTTCAGATGCCCCACAGATAGTTAGTCTATTCCTTCTATTAAAGGAGAACGAACTATTGTCTTCTCTATATTATCTTATTTTCAAATTCTAATTTTAAGAAAATTTACTTATAAATTACATATAGTTTCTAACGAATTTATTCTTTAGACTAAATCAATATTAAAAACTACAGTCAGTGATGATTCAGCAGCAAGTAACATGATGTATAATCGGTTCGTTATTTTATAATAATTACATATCATTTCATCATTGATTCATATTTATAGTACTAAAGAAATATCCGAACTTGAACAAAGAGTAATGCAGGTAAATACAACATGTTCTTAGATATAGAACTTTATATTTTATTTTGGCATATATAGTATGATGCGATGTTAAAACAAAATCGTTCAGAAACTGATGATTTACATCGAACAATTGCTGCTAAAGATACAGAATTAATTGCCGAAAAAAATGTAATGTTTGAATTTAAAAAACCAAATTTTTATGTATTCATTTGTAAATCTTTTAGCATCGCTTACAAATTGAAGAACAACTACGTCAACAGTTTGATAATCAGAAGCGTATAGCAGATATGCATGCAATTGATAGTATGAGACTATTCATTTTAACATATAAAAAAATTTCATTCATATAGATAAAGCAAGTTCAAACGAAAAATTCAATAAATTACTCGAAACTTACAATAAATTACGTGATGAACATGCAATTGTATTAAATCGAGTACGAATATTTGAGGTTTTTTTCTAATTTGAAAATTATTTTATTTTAGGAAGGTGAAACTAAAAAACAATTAACAGATATAACTCAACAACATTCGCAATTAAAAGAAGAACATCAAGTATAATCATTTATCGAATTGATTGATTATTTCTTTCTTTTATAATTTCAGAAAAAAGAAGAAGAATTTAATCAAAATCAAGAAAAAATTAATAATGAAATTGTTCAACTACGACAAACAAATGATGTAAGATTGAGAAGATATTTTGTATCTACACGAGTTTAGACAAAATACAATAAATGTGGAAACTTCGGATTTTTATCTGAGAGTTATGTGTACTGCAAAAAGTGTATATGGAAATCATAGGGAAATATTAGTATTTTTGCAATAACTCGAGAGTAGCCCGGCCAATTAGGTTCATCTTCGAACACGACCAAGATCTTGATGAGAAAGTTCTGTGCACAAAGTTTCAGCTCAATCGGACTATTCTTTCAAACTTTATTGTGTATACGGCCGGACGGCCACACTGACCGCTTCTAGTAGTGTACTCACTCTTTGAGTACACTAACAAGTTAAGAAATGATGAAGAGAAGTATTCAGAATCTAAAAATATACAGCGACAAATATCTCAATAATACCTTCTATAATACGAGTTAATGACATCAATTACTGTCATACGAAAATTGAACCGATAGTGATACTAACAGTTAAAACTCTCGATTGATATTATTTCAAATGATAGAAATCACAAACTGCGTTTTTTTATATAGGAATTACAAGACAGAATTCAAGTACTTACAACTGAACGTAATGATTATCAATCAATAACAAAAACAACAGCTGAACGTATGAAAGAAATTGAAAATGCTAAACAAGTATAAGGAATAAGTAGTTTTCTAATGAAATATTTTATATTAATTTTATTTTAGAATGTTGAAGAACGTTTTAAACAATTAGAAAATGATAAAACACGTATTGATAATGATAAATCTACTTTTGAACAAAAATTAAAACAAACAGAAGGAGCACGTCGTGATTTACATGATAAAAATCGCGTAAATATTTTTTTCGTTTCTTTTCTTTTTATTCAATTTCATAATCGATTTTAGGAACATGAAGAAAATCTTATTGATTTATTACATGATAAAGAAACTCTTGAATTAAAAATTATCGATCTAGAAGAATCAGCACGTAAATGGGCACAGAAATTTGTTGAAACAACTGATAAACAAAAATTAATACAAACAACTCATGAAAAACTTCTGAGTAATTTAAAACGACAATATAAATGTAAGTTATGACAAACATAACTGAAAACCATATATTTTCATTCACTTTTAAAGTTTCGATTTTAACATATTGTATTAATCAAATGCATGATGGAATTGATCGAATGAAAAATAAAGAATTATCCGGTGAAAAAAATACTTCAGAATATCTTTTATCAAAAATACAAATGGCTATTGCTAGTACAAAAAAAATACAAGATCTTTATAAAAAACACAATGAATCTGATGAAAGTTCGTAGATATATCTCTATTTTACTCTGATATTCAATTTGAAACAAGTATAAAGTCGTTTAGAAAAAACAGATTAGCAAGATCTTAGTAAACAGTTGATTTCGACGCATTCGTATTAATAAAAAGGGTGAAAATATTAGAAATAATTTTTAATTAAAATCAGCGTACAATAGATAAGTGAAAATCCTTCTCTACAGCATCAGAGTCAACATGACTTTTATTCATCTAAAATGAATTGATAACACTTGAACTAATCAGTATTTTGTCCAGAATGGCCTGTATTCAAGAAGCATTAACCTACGCTAATTTGACTGACTTCGTGCCAGTGATCATATATATCTAATTAAATTTATCGAGATTATTTTTCGTACACTTTTTAAGTAGTATATGTTTGCTATCAGTGGCGGATTTCTGGGGGGGGGGGGGGTGATAGCCCTCCCCCTTCCGAATTTTTTTTTGATTTTTTACAGCAAAAATGAACGAAAAAATAGGTTCACACTACTTCGATTGGACTCAAAAAATAGCTTTTAGCCAAAATCGTCCTCCCCTTCCAAAATCCTAGATTCGCCACTATTTGCTATTCATTATATCCTTATCTAAATAAGACCGTACATGTGAAGTTATATTTTAGCTACAACACTTGCATTCATAAATGAATGTATTACACTCTCGAATTGTATGGTTGATATTGTTATACATGGTAAATCAGCATCTAATTTTGCTCAAAATGTTGATTTAGCTAATAGTTGTCGTGATACAACTCTTTATTGTATTGATATTTATACTAACTATCAAACACGTTCGTAACAAAAAATAAATTTTTAATTTATAAAATTTTAATATCTTATTTTAGCATCAGCATCAAATGATAGTGATAAACAAACTAATGAATTAATTCATCGATTAAATTCATTAATAGAAAAATGCAAAACATTATTAAAAAAATAATATTTAAACTAATTGATTTTATATTTACAATACATCCAAATGAAAAAAAAATGTTTGATTTAAAACTGAAGTCTTTTATTAAAAATAAAATTATATTTAATAATTTATTATTTTGGGTATGGATATCTTATAGTATCTTTTGTTTTTTGTTAACATTGTTATGGTGAATTGAAATAAAAATGTGATATATAAGAATTTAAAATAAAAATAAATTGGTTGAACATAATCCATACGATATTTGTTAGATATAATATCTTACTTGTTATTCGATACTAACAGATGTTTGAATTATATGTAGACAGAGAGACGATATAGATTTATTTTAATCTTTTAACAAAACAAAAAAACAGCGTTTATTTACAGAAGGTGAGGAGACATATATTGAACAAATATTCAAATAATATTTTGCAGTTATGACTCTGTTAGTTGTTGTTTGCGACAATATGTGAAGTGTATTGAAAATATAATTTGGCCTTGTAAAGTGTAATCAAGAAAAAAAAGAAGTTTTTTCTGTTAACCTTCGGAGGTAGCTTACTTCTTCTGTGCTGATTTCAAGGTTGTTTTGATATTTTTATGGTTGCTTTGCCATCCAGTTAAGTATATATACAGACATCATGAACATACATTCATTAGATTAACAAGTTAATCGACATACACACACAAATTCAATTCTTTTCAAATTTAATAATGACATATTATATCTTTATTTTTGCTTTACTTTCATGTTTACCAGTAAGTTTAAATAATTGAAATTTATTCATATTTATTTTTAATCACATATAGATATATGATACAACATTATTATGGCGTATTAATAGTAATCCTCCTGCATATCTTTTTGCTACTGTTCATGTACCATATACAGATATATGGCCGACTCTCTCGGATACAGTCAAATCAGCTTTTAAGAACTCCACACATTTTTATCCAGAATATGATCTGACGAACTTTTTTTCAGCTATAAAATTACGAATGTGCGTAAATAATAAGAAGCTTCCTATTGGAATCCCTACGCCATCACCAGGTTAGTAATTATAATTAATTTCATGTATTAAATTTATTTTTATACATTAGAAATGTTACGTCAACAGCAAGCACAAACGCCTATTCTTGATATACATTTAACATTAGAAGCCCGTCGATTGGCAAAAAATGTTGAAGCATTAGAGAATCTTGATATATATTGTGAAGTAAGTTCTAGCACTTTGTTAAAGAAAATGTTTGTTTAATCTTCATCTAATTCATTGATAAATAGTTTACAAAATTTCAAGTTGAAACTTTAACAAAAAATTATACTTTACATATGGATAAACCTGAACTTCTAGATCAAAAAGCAATTGAAGAAATTAAACGTACATATAATTGTGATTTAAATAGTCCTGAAGAATTATATACACCAACAACACTTCATACAGAAGATAAAGCATTAGTTGCATTCAAACAACATTTAGAAGAAATTGTTGGACGCCGAGATGCTCGAATGGCACAAAAGATAAATGATTTACTACAAGAAAAATCAGCAAATAAACGATTTTTCTTTGCAGTTGGTTTTGGTAATATAAAAAAAGTGTATGTCTTTTGATAAAACTAACTTTTTTCGCTTGTTTTAGCTCATCTGATGAGTCCAACAGGTATTGTAGCAAAATTAAGAAAAGATTATAGTCATTCGGTTTCACGTTTATGCACTGACTCACATGAATATCGGTTTGTAATAATTCAGATAAGATATATCAATATTCTTATGTTTTATTTTAGAGCTTCATTAAAATGTGAAAAACCAAGTTGGTGTGATCCAATAGCAGGATTATAAATCTTATATACTACAGAACTACATAGATTAATCTTTTTTTTTCATTTTATGTGTGCGTGTGGTTTTTTAGCTAAATAAATCAAACTTCATATTCTCACCTTTAACCTATACAGTAATGTATAAATTTTGAATGAAATGATTATTACGTATTAAAATAATAGTTAGAAACACTATATGTATCTATCAAGGCTGTTTGGGAGCATAACGACACACCCTTTAAAAAGAACAAGAAAATTCTTTCTTCACCGAAAAAAAAGTGAAAAGAAATAAAATTCGCTGCGAGTAGAAAGAAATATTTTGTTTTTACATGAGTACTTTAAACTCGTACAATTTGAAAGTACAAATAATGAATAAGACGAAATGTTGTATATTCAAATGTACTGCAGCGTTTACAAATAACTAATCTTGTTTGTTGAACACATCGAAAGAGATCTGATGTATCTATGTGCTAATTTTTTAGAAAATTGTAGTGAAGGTTTTATAGGTTATCTACATCAAAAAAAATTTCATTTTAATGTGTACTTGCTTTCTTAAAGCAAATACTTACGAAAAATGATGTCTGTTAAAACTGCTTTAAACAATATTTGAATAACTTTATTCAACTTGGTAAATAATGCAGTTCAGTTTGATGCTAAATAGCAAATAAATTTACACATGACAAGAAATATGAGAGAATGCATTTGTAAGAAAGAATACAGTTACACGATAAGTAAATCATTTGTATATTTAAATTATGAATAAAATACGAAACATATGTATGATGATTAATAAAGGATGTCTAGTTTCAGTAGATTTTTTGAGAAAAAATTTACTCATTCAATTATTCTGTAATTTTATTATTGAATATATGGATCGACTATATCTCGATTTTTTTCTATTTATATTTCTAACGCTGATGACAATATGAGTCATACAATGGAAATGTGTACAATAAATCTTTTTTTCTACATAAGACGACGATAATGAGATTGTTACAGCAAAAATCTTAATTTTTATTATAGTTTTACATAGATGTATATATCGTGAGTGCAAAATTTCATGAATTTTTTTTGTTAAACTAGCACAGATGTAATTCAATCTTCACAGATATCATATCTTAGAAAGATTTACTATAACTATAAGTAGTTCGATACATAGAAATTCATGATATGATGCCATCCATTAATTGTCATTTGATAGATTTGAATGAACTCTATATCAAATATATTCATGCTCAGATTTTAAATAGTCTTAGCATTGACATAATAACTAACTATGGAACTCAGTGCACAATACTATTTTATAAATGTTATCTTACAAAAAATGAAATTTTTTATAATAGACGTCTACATATCTCTAACTATTTCGCTTTTTTTTGGATATTCTTTACAGATGCCTACCTGTAGATTTTGTATTGACTATTATTTTACACTTTAGTTTCTAATTATAACACGTCAGCAGTTATATTGACGTTTTCTATCAATTGATTCTCAGTTTGTTCAATAAGGTAAACATGATTAAGCATTGTTAGGTAGTAGCACTATCTCTTAACGACTACTTTTCTCCTCTAATCCTCTTGATTGGTGATCTGCGCGAATTAATAATTATCTCCTTCAATTGTTAGTTTGAAGTTGTTTGTCAAAAGTAATAAAAAGCTGAACCAAATTACAAGTTAGTTGACTTACTAATATGTATATCTATCTAGTTAAATATAGTTCAAATGATTAGTTTTTCTAATATTTAACTACAATGGCATATTTTATTTATCAGTTAATCTACAATTGTTGATAAAATCACAATGAGTTTGGCGCTTAATATTTATCAGTCATACAATGAATCCTCGTATTGAGAAACTTTGTTTACCTCGTCAACGACGTGATGCTGTCTGGAAATTTTGGCAACCAAGTATTTCTTTTTTTTATTCAACTTAATAATATTTAAGAAATCAACAATTTTTTATTATTAGATGCTAGATTGGAAAAAATTCATCCACCTATATATTGGAAATCACTTGAATATAAGCACATTCATTCAAAAAGAAAATCTATTGTAGAAGATTCTCAAAATACTCATGAATGTTTATGTTCAAATGGATGTAATTATACAACATTAATCTATAAACATCCAAGTGAAAAACAATCTATTGAAAAAGGATTTCGTATATTTATTGACTTTGAACATGATGGATTACAACATGCTGCTTGGAAGGAACCGATTGAAGAAGAATGTAAATTAAATATAAAAGATAAACCATCAATCGTAGAATTACAATGGTTAAATCTAAATAATAAACAGCAATCTCTGAATGATCAATATTTAAAACGTCAAGAATTAGTTCGATATTACAAGTTACATACTCAAAAAGATAATTTACTCAAAAGCAATAAAACATCACACCCAAATCAACCTATACCTATATCACGTCGTCCACGTGATGCTCTTCATGCTGATTTTTATCAAGCATCTTGTTTTGATGGATCAAAAACCGAAGCAACATTTAAAACATTTTATCATCGAAAATATCTTGTAAATAATTTGAAAACTATCTTAATAATCTTCTATTTTAATTATTTTATAAGTTATCTCGACATTTACGTGAACATACATTGAAAGATCTTCTACGATATGCAACAAATGTTGAACTTGATATTGATATTATTGGTCATTTTATTTTACATCCAGTAATTTTTTTTTCTTTTTATATTATTCAATTGATTTTTGGTCCTCACTTTAGAATGAATTATCTAAGCAAGAACTGAAAATGTTTGAATTAACATCAGAATTTGGAGATATTTATGATGGTCATATTATTCGAATAAATAAAAACAAACTTGTTCTATTACTGGCTTCTACGCATTATTCTGATATGAAAATTACACAAACAGAAGATAATCTGACAAATGTTGATGCTAAATCTGATCAAGTATACATCTTTATTTCTTGTTATATTTCATTTTCTAAACTTTTTATTCGATTTTCATAATCTTATAAATTATCAGTAAAGTTATAGAATTTAAATTAAGATCTGATTGTTTCTTTGTTCGATAAAATTACAGCACAGATTAGAATGAAAACGTTTTACTTTTAGGAAATATTTACTCAGAATCTTTTTTTGTGATTGAAACATAAGTCTTTGACAAGCAAAAGAATCAATTTTTATGTAATGTTTGATAATTTGGTATTTTGATTAAAGGTGTCTTACTTTAACTACATAAGTACGCAAGTAAGGTTAGCATCAGATTCGAGTAATTCTTGTTCATATACATTTGAGACTCTGTGCTGATGTACTGAATATTTACCTTAGGTGCAGAATTTAATTCTCTATCGAAGGTAGTATATTGGATAGGGTGTGTTTAAAAGAGAAATATGCAGATAGATCATCAAGGCCTTTTGACAAGGCTAAAACAGAGTGACGTTTTGGATTTGTTTGACCGGTTTTAAAGTCATAATGCGGCAAATACCTTTTTCTCACTGTTTCGTATCTAAAATACATCGTTTCCGGACACTTACGGCTGTATTTATAAAGTCCTCTTCGTCTGGTTTTGCACCATTACACTCTACTTTCTATTCATATAGAGTATTGCCTTTCAGTACGTACTGTTTAGTAAATTTCAAAAAACAAGGGGTAATAAGACACTTTAATATATTTTACAACACATAAACAACGATTTTGCTTAATGGACAGAATGAGACTCAATAACAGCGAAAAATGATAATAAATTTCACTCTACATGATATTCGCTTTGTATCTCCTGCAATGGAGTATTATGTATTCCATTCTAATTATAAAAATTTTAAAAATATATATCAGAAACTATGAGCGATTTATTCTTTGTAAATTCTTTCGTGTAATCTGTAGTTGAGTAATAAAAAAACAAATACTCTTTAAACAAAGATGTTCCATATAGTAGTTGTAATGTAACAAAACTTTAGCAATATTTTCATTTTTTAGCAATCAACAATCGTACAGCTTATTTCTGATTATGTTCGTGAATATTTGCAAACAAATCATAATCATTTTTTTGAACAAATACGACGTGTACAAGTTGAATTGGAACCTTTAACTAATACTGATAAACGTCGCGTTATTATTCATTTATTAAACGATGAAGAAATTGTTGAAAAACTTACTTTTGATATTACATATGAACAAGAACCAAAACTTTTTGATAAAGAATATCAAAATAATCTTTATTTTATACAAAGTATCAATGAAACAACAATTATTAATTCTGTTGAACATAAACTCAAAGAATTATTTGATAAACGATATTCTTTAAAACATCAAGACTCTTATATACAATTAACATTAGATATAGAATACGATACATTAGATAGTATACGAAAACTGTTTTATGCTTATGCTAATCATACATTATCAATATATTCACGTGAAGAATGTATGCGAATAGCAATTGAATATTATTTTGATGATCTATTAGATAAATTTGATTGTAAGGAATTTCAACCAATTAATGATAAACAAATCCAAATGATGATTGATGATGTACAAATGCGATTACGTCAACAAATCGAACGACGTTTAGTATGACTTCAGAATACTCATATTGAATTAGAAATATTTTTATTTAGAAAGCCGAAATGACAGCTAAAATTCTTCTAATCGGTCCACCAATAAATAAAGGTATATCTTATTTGAATATGGAAAAAACACCATCTTGCTCTTTAACGATACAGTAGAGATAAAAACAATGGACAAGGAAGTCGTCGTATTAGATCATCATCGAGAAATCTTTATAAATCAATCAAATACATCTATTAATCCATCAAAAGTGAAAGATATTCAGTAAAACTTACTCAGTTTTCTTTTTTAGTTTATTTTATAATCATTCCTATTTCTAGACATAATAATGATAATGCTATTTTCCATGAAGAGATAGATGGTGGACCACAAAGTTTTGATCGATTACCAATGAGTATTGATTCATTAACAATATTAAGACGTTTTCAACATCGAAAACATTTATCTATTGAACAAAGCGATAATAAAATAGTTCTACTTGGCAGTGGCATACAACGTTTAGTTTCATCTAAAGATCGTAATGAATCTGTTTCATTTTCTATTGAATGTGAACAAGATAAAATTGAAAATAAATCAACAATTGATGTAAATCAATCTGATAGTAATAGTTTAAAAACACTCAATACAATATCTATTCATACAAAAAGTTATAATACATCAGCATATCCTAAAAAAGTATTTTGTTTAAATTTAAGTTGTAAAAAAATAATGTTTACTTCGTAGTTTCATCAACAACATATAAAGAAAAGAATATCTCGATCACCTGCTGAATATGGTAAACATAAACATAAACGAAGAAGACATACACGATTTGAATTAAGATCAAAAGCATGCATTAGTAATAGAAATGTCAATTATTCATTTCTTAACAATTTATGTTTACTGTATCAAAATAAAAAACAGAAAACGATGAAAAAACATAATAAAAAACAAAAACAATTTAAATCAGTAAAACATATTAATATTAATGCAACAAAAGGAAATTCCAGTACTACAAATCTACGAAATAATCTTATCATTGAATCGACAGATGACTTATCCAGTAAGTTTTGGTAGATATATCCAAGTAGACAATAAGCTACATGTTAAAATATCTCAAGTCATTTGTAAGACTTTGAGACGTTAATAGTGAACAGCAAAGAAGTATTATTTTTTGAGAAACTGAAGTTTTACTCAACATAATGCTCAATAAACGTTGGTTTCAAATCGTATATGGATATTTAAATATATATAATGTAGACAACAATAGTTCGTTCAGTTTGGGCAATATGGAAGCAGTTTGCTTGATAATTGTAACCAGTTTTATCTAAGTCAACTTTCCTCACCTCTAAATACGAAAAAACTCAAAACTTTGCCAGTAGTTTCTGTATAAATCTAGTATATCGATACTTTATTATTTGTCTTCATATATATATGTGAATATTTTTTTGACCTTTGTATATTTTTCTATTTGTTATGTGTAATAATAGAACGATTTCTGAAATTATTTTAGTTCATTATATAAAAAAATCTATAATTTTAATTGTTCATTTTTTTGCTAATTTTTGGACAGAAAAGTATAAATGAATCTGTTTCATATCTAATAGAATATGTCTGAAACAAGGTCTTCATGCAGAACAACTACAAGTTTATTTCGAAAACTTGATACAAACAATAGAAATACCTGATCAATTTCAATTAACTGAAGAACAGTTAAATCAAATTATAATCGAAGAAAATATTCGAATACATGACGGTATATACTTATTTTACGTATACCTCTACATAAATTGATTTTCTCAGTTTGCATATTTTATTCATTTTAATTTGCTAATTATTAAGCTCACCATAAAAATAAAGATATAAATTCTTCTTGTAACTTTAATCAGTGAGTGTCAAAAAGGAGTAGTAGCATATGTGTTATCTAATTGCATATGCTACGATACTCGTTTTTTAAATATATCATAAAAGGATCATTCAATCTGTTACTAACTCGAAATAATGTAAAAATATTACAATTAATATTTTTCGTTTTAGTTGACCTTAATGAAACATCAATGAATACTTTTCATTTGAACGAAAAACAGATTCAATTTTTGATTGCTCAGATAGATATGATGAACTGGTTATCATTAAATTCTAATTTCTCATTCAAGCAGCAACAATTACCACTTATTCTTCATCTTAATCAGTTAATCGAATTATGTAATCAACAACACATCGATATAGATAAACTTCTTAATAATCAAACTGATTTACAAAATTCATTATCACCCGTCAATTCAAACTTTGAATTCACTTTCTCAGCCTCACAAATAGCATATATAATCAATCAACATAGTTTTGATATGAAAAAAGTATTAGCTATTCAACAAAATTTAAAAAAAGAAGATTCACAAACTCAACAGTTTCACTTGAACATATCACAACTTGCTTATTTGTTTGTTAATCGTCATATTATGCATAGTCATGAAATTGTTGGTCTTTCTGCTAGTCAATTAATAGCTTTATATATGTTGCAACAATCATCAATTCAAGATGATCAAACATCATTTTTTTCACTTACTTATCAACAAATAAAACAGTTAGCTTTGATGCAAAGTATATATATATATATTTCATAACTGATCATTATTTCAATTTCATCAATTTATATAATAATAGATATGTCTTTGGAACATCTTCGAGCATTACCTATTTCAAATAAACCTCTACAACTATCACATAATCAATTAACTTATATTGCTATGGAAAATAAAATAACAATAGAACAAATAACATCACTTCACAGTAGTCAGAAATCAAAAATATTAACTCATAAACAGCTCTGTACTTTAATTAACCAAAGTAGTCAATTAACTGAATTGAAAAATTCCATAAATCTTAGACAATCTACTGATGAATTTTCTCGTATACCCCAATATATTTGCTTGAATGTAAAGCAAATCTTTTCTCTTGCATACTATTCGAACATTAGCTTGGATCAATTGACAACTTGTACAACAGAAGATACTGACGTATATATATTCATTAAAGATAATCTTTCATTGAAATATTCATATTAATTTTTTTTTTATAGATGACAGAATTACGTCTTAAACCAGAACAATTAGCCATGCTTTGGAACACAGATATTCTATCTGACGTCACATCTGTATCACAATCACAGCTTCGATTTACTCTTACTGATGAACAATTTAGTAGTTTACTTCGTAATGTTTCTATTTCTATTCCTCAAACACCTTCACAATTAACAACAAATATGAAGTTCAATACAGAAGCATCAACACAATTACATGAACCTAGTAACAAGAGAAAACAATCAACTGATAAACAAAATCTACTATCATTCACTCTTACCGAACAATTAACAGCTATGCATAAACAATTACAATCAAGTGTACAAACTCATATAGAAACAGTAAAATTAGTGTCAGATTCAATATTAAAACGTAACCAAATCAAAAACACTCTCAATCTTATTCATCAATTAAGTCTGCACTCAATTGATGATATATCAATGAAAGAAATCGAAACGATTCCATCATTCGTACTTGATCTGCTCAAAATGAACACAGTCACAGAGAATATCTATCAATCAATCAAACAAGGTGAAGTAGTTTCGAATGTATTAGAGAAATCTGATGATCTAAATACAAATGATAGCTTAAACAAAATAATCATTGAAAAAATTCAAACTAATCAACTTAGTTTTTCTCAAATTCATAAAATTCAAACACAATTACTTACTCCAAAACTTTTGAGTAAACAATTTTATTTTGCATTAATAAATAAATCACTCATATTTCAAATACAATTTAGATGAATTTAAAACAGGTCATCTCTCACAACGTATTTTAAATGCATACAAAAGTCAATCACCATTACAAATGATTCAAACAATTCGTACATCAATAACACAACTGAGTACTTTACTTCTTCATCAATCGTCGATTATTGCTCAACCAGGTGCTATGATAGTACCTATTATACCACAATCTACGATGAAGAATACGATTCCATCTGATGAAATATCTGATGCTAATGCTTCCAACAATGAAAAAAATGAACATGGTAAATAAAACTAAAAAAAAAGATGCATATAATATGCGAATGTTTTGTACATTAGTTATTATGTTACCCCAAGTGATGGAACAAGATCCAATAATTATTTATCCTGAATCACCAATCATTCGACAACAAACTTTACAAGAGCTTGGTAATTGTCTCGATACTCAATTAATCGAACTGGAAGAAAAATATAATATTGAACCTGTTAAAGGCAAGTTACTGATATTTTGTTTTGGTTAATTATAACGTTTTCTATTAGGTAATGCATCAATTCGACATATCACTAACAAAATTAGAACAATGGCAATTACAAAAGATTTCGAAAGTTTAATCAATCGACAAATAGATGAAGTCGATATCTTAAACATTCTCGAAGGTCATATAAGTCATTTATTCGATCAAGTGCATGTAGATACTAACAAAATAAATGAATTATTTAATCTTAATATTCAACATCGATTAAACAGAATCAATGAACGAATTCAATTAGTTAATATTTTACAAAATCATATTGAATATAACAGATTAAAACGTTTGTAAAATTAGTTTGTAACTAAATGAAAAAGTTTATATTCAATCTTATTTGTTTAGGACAAATGAATCTTGAAGAATTCACTGCATTTGTTCTTGAAGATATTTCTAAATTCGAACAACTGACAAATATTCATTTAACAGAAGATGATTTACGAATTATATCAATGAATCGCTTTGCATCGATTGAGCGACTTATGATGCGTCGTTTAACGGAAGCAGAATATCGTTATTTACTTCAAACTAATTCTCCATTCGATTATATCGAACAAGAATTACTTAAACGACCATTAACAACAGATGAACATATTGAACAGGAAGAATTAACTATATTATTATATCAAGATATATGTCCTGTTTTCAATGGAAAAATTTTAGAAAGTTTAGAACAACAAAATATTAAATTGACTCATATACAATTAGAACAGGTAAATAAAATTATTATTTATATTGTTAAAGTATTAATTTTATTATTATATGTAGATTCTTCGACGAAGAGCGGAACTTGTTGATGACTATGATATCATTTATTCGATTACTCCGTCGATACAACTTATTGAAGAGCAGTTTGATCATTCATTGACTATGAGTGAAAAGAAACGTTTAATACATGATGATTATTCTATGATTGAACAAATAAAAGACTCGAAAAGAAAAACTCAAGAAATTCTTCCTCTTACAGCATTAATTCTTAATTTAATTGAAAATACTCAAGATAAAAATTTATTAGAAAATATTGAACAACTACAAGTAGATATTGATCGATCATTAACAAAACAAGAGATTATCATGGC